ACTATGTACTGTAGCATCTCCCAAGATCGCTTGCAGTGGGAGATCAATAGCTTGAACCCAGAGGAGGGTCTCATGACCCTCCCCTCCTCAATCTATTAGGGAGTGTCAATAGCTCCATCTCCGTAGGCCTGGCCACTGATGTATTGCTCTACTCTGGTTTTTATGGATACTGATCCAAGTTAAACTCCATGCCAAGACAGCATCATAGCACATCTGGAGGACAACACATCACACAACACCACTGCTCTCCTCCATCTCTTGCGTTCTTTCTGCTTCCTCCCCACTTGAGCCTTGGGAGAGGTGATGTCTCCCTTGCCCTTCTTCGAGTATTGGGTAGCCTGGCAGCCATATATCCCTTGTTTTCAGCAGGTTAGCCAGTTAGGAGTCTCTCCATCAGCAATCACAGCTCACTGTTAGGTGTTCCCCTACAACCAAGGCCAGCATCAGTACTCTGGGTGTAAGGTTTAGAAGGCAATTTGACAGGTGCATCTCGTCCACTTAACAAAACAATAGCAGTTGCTTCCCCACTGGGGCCTATGACTTTCTACACCACAGGGTTTTATCTGCGCTTACAGGACCAGATGTGAATTCCCTCCTGTGGAGCGGGCCTTCAATCTAATCAGAACGTTGCTGGTTGCACCCGCTGGTACAGCTGTGTGTGGCATGTTGATAGCATCGCAGGATGCAGAGGCCAGAGTCAAGCAAGGCCCTGTGTGATACTTCTCCCCTAGTAGCCCACATGGCACCTTCCAGCGCTGTGAAAACTCACCAGCAGGAAGGGACCGCTCACAGATCAACCCCAGCTTGATTTCTCCATGTTCTGAACCAAAGCATGCAGTGCATTCAACAGAAGGTGCTACCACCTGGCTCTGGCATTCAATCAAGGGCAGCAGATATGACCTGTATCATTTTGGGGTCCTCTGGGATTCCCTGGTCAGCAACTCTTAGGGAAGTAACTCACCCCTGGCACTGGGATTTTCAGTTAACAGCCAAGAAACAAACAAACAAACAAACAAACAAAAACCCCACTTTTATTGTTTTTACTGCTTTATTTGGTCTGGTAGCTTTTTTTTTTTTTAACAAGTCTGTAAGACACTCAGAGGTCGGTATTAAAACAGAGTGGGCAGGATCTCCAAAGGCCGCTACACTCAGTTGATCTCAGGAATCAGCAGCTAAAGGGCCACTAAAGTAAACTGTTAGCAAGGGCCAACACAGCAAGAAAAGATTCCGTCTTTCATCAACTATTTCCTCAAAAGAGCAATGTGGAGGATCTGAAGCGATGACTCCGCGTTTACGTGCTTTGTGCTCTTGCAGAGGACGGGGGTTCAGTTTCCAGTACCCACAGAGGACAGTTTACAACTGCCTGTAACTCCAGCTCCAGGGTATCCAACGTTCTCCTCTGGCCTCCGCAAGCATCCACATGAGTAAACACACACACACACACACACACACACACACACACACACACGCACGCACGCACGCACGCACAGGAAAAGGAAGAGCTATGTTGAGTGCAGTTATGTGTATGGGAAGCACCACTTTATCCAGCTCTCTGTAATCCCGTGAGCTTCATCACCCTTCCCCTGGGGCACTGTCATGGGGCCCACTGAGCCGCTTTCCACCTGACCGGCTTCAGCAGAGATAGCTCCAACTGCTTGGCCCAGACCAGGTCCAAGGTGGAGCCGGGTTGTGCTTGCGCCTGCCGCTGAGTTGGCTCCTCGGGTCTGACAAGCTCTGGCACGCAGCCAGTGTCACGGCTCTCTCCACCTGGCTGCTGTCGGGGCCTCGGGTCTGGGTCAGCACTGCTGCGGGCACCAATCCCACAGTCTCTTCCTCAGCAGCACACGGGTGCAGTCAGAGCAGCAGGCTGGCTGAACAGTTCCCACTCCCGGCATACTGTTTTACGTGAGATGAATGTACACAGTTTACTCTCCGGGGATAACTGTCCACCTTCGGAACAAGCTTAGTCTTTCCCATCTACGATGTCTTATCCTTTATGCCTATGTGGTCTGTTCTTCAGGTTTGAAAGCCTTCCGGCAGCTCCCCAGCTGCCTTTCATGCCAACTTGACACAAATCTTGCCATATTCACTTTGGGGTGACCTGGGGTCCTCGTTTGCTTCCTGTTACTATGGTGAACACCGTGACCAAAAACAACTTTTGTGGGAGCGGTATTTGACTTACACTTCCGGGTCCCCTTCCATCACCGTGAGAAGTCAGGGCAGGAGGAGCTCAAGCAGAAACAGGCACGAACCGTGGAGGAAGACTGCCTCCTGGTTTGCCCCCGGGGGTCACACTCAGCTACCTTTCTTATACAGCCCAGGACCACCTGCTTAAGGATGGTACTGCAGTGGGCTGGGACCTCCTATACCAGTTATCCCTCAAGAAAATGCCCCACAGACACGCCCACCGAGAGCCAATCTGATGGAGGCAGTATCTCAACTGAGATCCCCTTTTTCCAGATGTGTCAAGTTGACAGGGAAGATTAGCCATCCCACCTGAGCAGACGATCCCCCCCTTTTTTGCCCTTAAAAAAAATCTCATCTAGATTTCTTTACCCCTTCCAAACCTGATTTACATGCCAGGCTAAGTCACTCGGATATGTAAATGTCTCTCCTGTCTCATAAATACCATACCTCACACTGGGTTCCACACACTGCTAAAGTTTTATACCATCTTGGAAGACATTGCTAAGTTAACCTCTTCCTTAACTCTCTGTGAGCATAATCCTATCAGATCAGTCAAACACTGCCTCTCACATCCCCATTTCCCTCAATAATGATGGTCTCTCCTACTGTCTTGGGATCTTTGCCAGCAATACTCAGTCTCTGGTGGCTCATATGAGCCATTCCATCAGTATAATGGGTCTTTCTTTAAATTGCTAGCTCTTGAATAATGACACAGAGACTTTTTACTAATTATGAAAGCTTGGTCTTAGCTTAGGCTTGTTTCCAACTAGCTCTTAAAACTGAAATCAACCCATTTATATTAATCTATATTCTGCCACATGGCTCATTACCTCTCCTCAGCACCAAACATCCTATCCTCTGTTTCTGGCTGGTGAATCTCCCGCCTCACATTCTTTCCCAGAGTTCTTATCTCTGCCCAGAAGTCCCACCTATCCTCTCCTGCCTAGTTATTGGCCATTCAGCTCTTAATCAAATCAATCAGAAGGTGCCTTAGGCAGGTGAGGAAGAACAGAGACATCTTTACACAGTGTACAAAAAGATTATCCCAACACATCAGGGCCTGATTCCTCTCATATTGCCACAGGTTGTACAGCCTTTGTCTCAAGGAAGGATGAGTAGTTACATTACTCAGTTTCTCCACTTGCACATCCTTCAGATCAATCCCATCAGCCCTCATACCAGTCTCTCACACCAGCCCACGAGTAGTTCTTACACTTTTTGTTCAAATGTCGTTTACAACTGAAGCAGTTTAGAGGTTGAATACTCCCTGATGTCATGTTTTCACAGGCTGAGCCATTATTAAGGTCCCCATCTTCATGTACAATTATGAATGGAACTGGAGAACATCATGTTAAGTGAAAGAACTCAAAGTACACAAATGGTTTGTGGTTTTCCATAGCTGAAGTTACATTTGATCTGAGTGCAGAATAGTGATTACAGGCAGCTGTGAAGGGAGGGAAGTTGAAAGCCAGGTCCCACCAAAGCACATTTAGAGGGAAGCAGTAAATGTGGTGTTCAGCACCCCGAGGGTGACTAGTTCACAACAGCGCATCACACATTCTATGAAAAGCTGGAAGGAAGGAGGTTGAAGAGTATAAATATAAGAAATAGTAAGAAAACAACAATGCTATTTACCTTAATTTGCATCAGTACATATTATTTGCAGTGCATAGTATATGGATTAAATTACTAACACCCCATAAAATGTATAATTGCTACACAGCAGTCAAACTTTTTAAAAATTAAAAGAAATGAACCTTAGAAAAACACAGTGTGTTATAGAGATGGATGAGCAGTTAAAAACACTTGTAGTGCAACCATGGGGTCAGAGTTCAGACCCCAGCATCCACGTAGTAAGCTGGACATCCTGCATTCAAGCTCCAAGCAATCAAGACACTCTCCCCTTGCCTCTACACTTGTACAGAGGCACACAATTGCATATACACATTCACTTGTGCGCACACACACACACACACACACACATACACACACTCACAAATACAGTAGGCAAGTGTTTAAGAAGAAACTATCGATTAAAAAAATCACCCATCTTCCACCTCCTTCCCCCAATAAAACACTGTACATAGCAACTCCATCTCCTGTCTCCTAGAACAAAATATACATTCCTGGAATCCTTCTTATAACCACGAAGAGTAAGAGAGCCTGAAATCATAAATGGCTTTTTAAAATCTATGAAAACACAGGAAATAGCACTTCAGACACTGGACAGCACAGTACTGTGATTGCTGAGAAAAGAAAAACCATAATAAAGACCTATCATTCAAGCTTCCCTACTACGATGTAATTTCCCATGTGTGTCGCGGGGAGATAGACTCCAAACACAGCCCAGTAATTTCATTCATCTGAGGAGACACGAACGTGCAGGGGGGTCAAGAAAACGAAAGGCTGAGAGGAGGAAGCTACACAGAGAAAGAGTTCCGGAAATTTATGTAAGCATTCCCTGGAGTCTTTGACTAAATACCAAGATATGTGTGCATAGGATGAAATCCCATGAAATGAGACAAAAATAACCTCTGGAAAGAGCAACTTCCACACAGATGCGAAGAACTCTAAGACAAATGTTACAGCTTGAATATCAAGTGCCGCCCCCAAAAGGCTCGTGGATTGAAGGGCTGGTCCCCAGCTGGTGGCTCTGTTTTTGGAGAGTCTGGACACTTTAGATGTGAGCTTGCTGGAAGAAGTGGGTCACTGAGGTTATGGCATTGGGAAGTCTCTTGTGTTGGGTATAACCTCTGTCACATTCTCCTGCTGTCATGATGCTCTGCCTCACCTCTGACCTGGAATCTGTGGAGCCAAGGACTACGTACTAAAAATCTCAGAAATCATGAGACAAAAGGAATTGTTTCCTCAATAAGTTGTTTCTCCCAGGTATTTGTTCACAGCAATAAGAAAGTCTGAACAACATACCAAGTAAGCCCAAGAGTTGGAGATCATTCCTATATATACCCTCTGCATTGTAGAGACATTAGTCAGTACACCAAACAGTCAAAGGAGATGCACGTATAACCATATGTTTATGACAAGTGCAGTGTGGTGCACAGCTTTAGTCCCAGCACCCTGGAGGCAGAGGAAGGAGGGTCCGTGAGTTAAAGGCTAGACAGAGCGAGACCCTGTCTAAAATAAATGCCTTTAGAAAGGAAACTAAGTGAGCCATAACATAAAGACTCCTCCACATCATCATTACCACAGCCCTTGAAAGGATTAAATTGATCTACAGCTACTAAATGAAAATCCAAGGGGAAAAAAATCTAAATACCTTTCAAAAAATAACAAACATGCAAAACTACACAGGTCATTGCCACTCTTGTTGTTTGCCCACTAGACCCAGGCTGTAAGACCCCATTGCTACAGACACTACATGCTCTGGCTGGAGGACGGAGGAAAAACAAACTGGAACTGAGCTGGAAGCTTCCTTCTGTTGACTGTGTAGGCTGCGGTGATGAACTGTCATCAACAGTCTTACTTAGCTGTGGACCCTACATGCTACTAACATGCAAGGTAAGATATGTCCCCTTCTGCAGGAGCAGCATGAATGTTAGGGGGTAGCCAACCAACCACTTTCTGATAGAATTTGAGACCCGATCCCCGATAGGGAATTAATGCCTGGTACTGCCAACCTGTTCAAAAGCCCATGGCTGAGAGGCCATAGATCCTAATGGAAAAGTTACTGTTGTATTGCTGAACTGACTTGATGCACTCATCAAACTACCTTCTAAATATTTACATCGAGATATTTACATTTGTGTGCACAGACTAGGGCTGCTGTCAGCTTTGGTCAAAAGAAGCTCCTTTGGCAGTTGGTGGTAGTTTATAAATGTGTCAAAGTGCTGAGGACAATTAACTGTGGAGTTCTCAGCTTTAAATGGAATATCTATACTACCTACCCCGAGGCTCAGGGAACACTAAGGAAGGAAAGAGAGAATACAAAAGCCACAAATTAAAAGATCAATACATTCATCAGTTTATATCTGTATGAAAGTGTTCTAGATTACCCCTAGATTCTAGAAAAATCATCAGCAATATTGTAGAGAGTTAAAATAGATGATGGGAAAAGTGCAAAAAGGAGACTAACAAAAATATGTACTCATATTTTTAAGATTTATGTGTGGGAGTGTTTTGCCTGCGTGTATGTATATACATTAATGCATGCCTGGTTCTCACAGAGGCCAGAAGAGGGCATAGGGTCCCCTGGAATTGAGTTACAGACAGTGTGAGTCACCATGTGGGTGCTGGGAACAGAACTCCAGGTCCTCTGCAATAGAAGCAAAATCACCAACTGCTGAGATCTCTCTCCAGCCCAATAAGGAAGGATTTTAAGGAGCTATTAATTATGTATACATGGGAGGATCTGTCTTTGAGAAGCTAATGATATGTACACTACAGAAAACAACCAAGTAATGATTTCAATACAATGTGTACACTTTTTCCCTTGAAAAATACGTACATTGGTTATGGTGTAATCAACTTCCCCAGGACTTAAATCTCACTCCATTGTCAACTGGCTCCCGTGGTTAGACATAAGAAGCCATCAGTGATCCTTCTCCTTGTCCCTCTGTATATATCTTTTTCTATGGTTACTTTAATGCTTTTTGTAATGTAATGGGTTTTCTTTCATTTTTATTTTTCTAAGAAAAGATGCTGCCAGCAACGTGATGTGCTGCCTCATGGCCCCATGCTCCAGGCTTAGAACTCCAGAGCATTTGAAAAGCTAACCGTTCTTAACCGTCCCCTCTCCGAAAATCTAGTTACTGTGATATTAGTCACCAAGTGTGGTCCCACTCATTATTAAAGCTGTGGCTTCTTCCCTGTCTAATCTCTGCGCTTTAATTGAAATCGTTTCTATTGCTCTAGCTTTAAATGTACTATCTTTTATTCTGTAAGTTCAAGTTTGCTGCTAGCAGCATCCTACAAGGAAATTTTTATTTCCTTTATGGCATTTTTTCATCTCTAGAAAAAAAAACAAAGTCTATACAGCATGCACACATAAAAGTTAAATGTTTTTGTTAAATACCCACTATTCTACATAAGTATATTACCATATAAATAAGTTATTCATAAATTAAAAAGAAAACTGAATAAACGCAACACAGTTTACACTGAGTCTTCAACATCGTGCAAAGTCGGGGTTGGGGCTTCTTTCTGTCGTGAGTACACTACAGTCCACCCGGCACTGCTTGTTGAAGAAAAAAAAAACTGCAACTTTAAAAAAAAGAAAAAGCAAAAAACAAACAATGAAAAACTGTTGGCTTCTTCATGTTGAGGAAAATAAGGCTGGATACAAAAGAGCACATCTGGGCTGGGCTGGGTCAAGGCCATGCTCCAGGGGCTGGAGAAAGCTGTTTCCTGGAGGTTGTGAACAGCTGAACTTGAACTGAAGGGACAAAGAAGGAAATTCTGAGTCATAGAAATCTTCACCTTGACCTTGGCAGGCATTCCCCTAGGTAGCCACCTTTAACTTTGTCAACATTTATTGAACTGAACACTTAAGATGAATGCATTTTACTACCTACATCATGCAAATAAATCAATAAATAAAATGCATAATATATCTATATTAGAGATACATATGCCACTGTAAATGACAAAATTGTGGATTTCTTCTGCTTTGGAAGCTCCCATGGCCACAGGTAGGCAAAAATGCAGCTTCAGGGTGTCAGCTGCCAATATTCAGAGGGACTCTCTACCAGGGAACCCTCTGGCCATGCTGGCCTGGGAATCAAGAAGGCATCTCCACTCTCCCTCCTGTTCACCACTTCAAATTCCCCTGTCTCATCCCCAGCCCTGTAGCAGACCACTTGCAGGATCCTGTTCTCTCCCTCTGACTCTACTCCCTGAGGACTCTGACAGACTTCATTGCAGACATAGCTTTCTTCCTTCCTGTGGACCCTCTCATCAACTAACCCCTTCTAGCCCATCCCCATTCCTTTATGTTAGCCCCCAGTTAGAAAAACATTCTACCCGGGACAACCAGTGACTACACCTGGCGTGGACTCAGAAGCACTGAGTCCAGGCAACCCCCAGACATCACATATTCCCAAGAGGACAATAGAAATCAAGAAACAGACCACCCAATCAACAAAGAGGAGACCAGTTATCAGCACCTAGATCACAATTGTTCCAAACCCAGATGCCTAGAGACCAGCACCAAAACACAAACATTAACACACAAGGCAATATGTCTCCACTAGAACCCAGTAGCCCTAGGACAGTAGCCCTAAGGAATGCAATACAGCTGAATCACAAGACAAGGACTTCAAAGTAGCGATTATGAATATATTTAAGTACCTCAAATAAGATATGAATCCCCTTAATGAAGTCTGTGAACATGCAAATAGTGGAATGAAATGAGAAAAAAACAATTCAAAACATGTAGTAGAATTGAACAAAGAAATAGAACCACTAATGAAAATCCAAACAGGTAAAACAGGAAATGAAAAGTTTCAGAAGTCAAAGCAAAACCTCAGAGTGAAGCCTCACCACAGAGTACAAGAGATGGAAGAGAGAACCTCAGACATTGAAGACATGATTACCTCAGTCAGAGAAAATGTTCAATCTAAAATATCCAAGCACAAAACATCCAGGAAATCTGGGACACTATGGAGAAGACTAAATCTATTCTTGGTGTCAATTTGTCTACATCTGGAATTAACTAAAAGCCTGGTGGCTGGGTGCACCACTTGGAATTTTCTGAATTAAATCCTTTGAGGTGGGAAGATCCACCTTGAATATGAGCCACACCTTCTGGTGGCAGCCTGTATAAGGGCATGGAAGAAGGAGGTTTTTGCTCTTTGCCTGCTTGCTTTTACTCTTGCTGACAAGTTCATTCCTTCATTGGCATTAGAGCTTATTTTTTGGGATTTGGGTATACAGTGATGACCAACTGAGAGATCCAGCCTCATGGACTGAAAAACTACTGGATTCTTGGATTTCCCATTGGCAGACAGCCATTGTTGGACTACTTGACTATAGATTGTAAAGCATTCTAATAATCCCATATATATTCATTTTATCAGTTCTGGTCCTCTAAAGAACCCTGACTAATACAAATAGGAATGGAGGAAGGAGAAGAAATCCAGGTCAAAGGCACAGAAAATATTTTCAACAAAATAATAGAAGAAAATTTCCCTAACCTAAAGAAGGAAGTACCTATTAAGGTAAAAGAAGCATACAGAACACCAAATAGACAAGAAAACCCCCACAACACATAATAATCCAAACAATAAGCATACAGAACAAAGATAGAATATTAAAAGCTACAAAGGAAAAAGACCAAGTAACATATAAAGGCAGACCCATTAGAATAACATCTGACAGCCAGGCATGGTGGCACATGCCTTTTAATCCCAGAACTCAGGAGACAGAGGCAAGTGGATCTCTGAGTTTGAGGCCAGCCTGGCCTACAGAGCGAGTTCTAGGACAGCCAGGGCTACATAAAGAAACCCTGTCTCAAAAAATCAAGAAGGAGGAGGAGGAGGAGGAGAGGAACAAGAGGAAGAGGAAGAAGAAGAAAAAGGACACCTGATTTCTCAGTGGAGACTCTAAAAGCCATAAAGGCCTGGATGGGTGCCAACCCAGACTACTACACCCAGCAAAGCAATCACAATTGATGTAGGGGGGAGAATTCCACAACAAAACCAAATTTAAGCAGTATCTATCTACAAATCCAGCTCTATAGAAGGCACTAGAAGGAAAATTTCCATCTTAGGAAGTAACCATACCTAAGAAAACACAAGCAAAAACTAATCCCGGATCAGCAAATCAAAGTGGGGGTTGGGGGGGTGGGGGAACTCCACACCATAACAACAAAATAACAGGAATCAGCAAATGCTGCTCATTGATAACTCTCAACACCAATGATCTCAATTCTTTTAAAAAAAAAAAAAGACATTGACTGACAGACTGGATTTGAAAACAGGATCCATTCTTCTGTTAAGGTAAAAGAAGCATACAGAACACCAAATAGACAAGACCAGAAAAGAAAACCCCCACAACACATAATAATCCAAGAATAAATATCATCTCTGAGTAAAAGGATGGAAAGATATTTTTTAAAAAATGGACCTAAGAAACAAGCTGCTGTAGCTATTTTAATATCTGACAAAATAGACTTCAAACCAAAACTAATCAGAAGAGATAAGGAAGGACACTACATATTCTTCAAGGGAAAAATACCCCAGAAGATAATGCAATTCTAAGCATTTATGCACCAAACACAAGGGCACCCAAGTTCATAAAAGAAACACTACTACATCTTAAGTCATACATTGACCCTTATATCCTGTGTTGGACATTCTTGTGTCAATTTGACACACGCTAAAGTCACCTGAGAGAAGGGAGCCTCAGTTGAGAAAATGTGTCCATAAGGTTCAGCTGTAGGCAAGCCTGTACAGCATTTTCTTAATTAGTGGCTGATGGGGCGGGGCTCTCCACTGTGGGTTGGTCCTGGGTTCTATAAGAAAGCAGGCTGAGCAAACCCTGAGGAACAAGCCAGCAAGTAGCACCCACCCCTCCACGGCCTCTGCATCAGCTCCTGCCTCCAGGTTCCTTTTGAGTTCCTGTCCTGACTTCCTTCAGTGATGAACTGTGATGTGTAATGTAAGTCAATTAAATCCTTTCCTCCATGAGTTGCTTTGGTTGTGTTGTTTCATCATAGCAATAGAAACACTGACCAAGACACACACTGATAGTGGGTGACTTCAATACCCCAATCGGGCCAATAGACAGGTCATCCAAACAAAAAATAGAGAAATGCTCAAGCTAAACACTATAAATCCAATGGACCTAGCGGATAGTTATAGAACATTTCACCCAAACATAAAAGAATATATCTTCTTCTCTGTGCCTCATGAAACTTTCTCCAAAATTGACCACATACTTGGACACAAAGCAAGTCTCAACAGATATTAAAAAAATTGAGATAACACCCTGCATCCTATCTGATGACCAAGAATTACAGCTGGATTTCAACAATAACAGAGACAACAGAAAGCTTACAAACTAATGGAAACTGAGCAACTCACTACTGAATGAAAAATGGGTCAGGACATAAATTTTAAAAAATAAATAAATAAATAAAAATTCTTAGAATTGGATGAAAATGAAAACACAACATACCCAAACCTACAGGATAAAATGAAGGCTGTTCTCAGAGGCAAGTTCACAGCCCTAAGTGCCTACATAAAAGAATTGGAGAGATCTAAATTAGTGACTTAACAGCACATCTGAAAGCTCTAGAACAAAGAGAAAAATGACATACAAAAGGAATAGATGGCAAGAAATAATCAAACTCAGGGCTGAAGTTTAAGAAATAGAAATAACAATAACAAAATGTTAAAAATACAAAGAATCAGTGAAAGGAAGAGTTAGTTCTTTGAGACAATCAATAAGATAAATAAACCCTGAGCTAAATTAAGTAAAAAATAAAAAATCCAGATTAATAAAATTAGAGATTAAAAAGTGTGGGGGGTGGGCATCACAACAAATGCCAAGGAAATCCAGAGACTCATAAGGGTATACTTTAAAAATCTGTACTCCACCCAATTGGAAAACCTAAAAGAAAGGGATAATTTTATATATATATATCACCTACCAAAGTTAAATAAAGATCAGATAAGCAATTTGTATTAGTCGGGGTTCTCTTAAAGTAACAGAATTTATAGAATGAATGTCTCTTTCTATTTAAAGGGGATTTATTGGAATGACTTACAGACAATAGGCCATTTAATCCAAAAATGACTGTGAACAGAAAGTCCAAGAATCCAGTCTACGAGGCTGGATGTCTCAGCTGGTCTTCAGAATGTGCTGGAATCCTGAAGAACAGGCTCTAATTCCAGTGAGAGAATGGATAGCAAGGTCAGGGCAAGCAGACAAAGAGGATAGCTTTCTTCTTCTATATCCTTATATAGACTTCCAGCAGAAGGTCTGGTCCAGATTAAAGGTGTGTCTTCCTGCCTCAAGATCCAGATCAAAGATGTGTGTCCTCCTTCCTCAAAGGTCCGGACTAGAAGTGGATTCACCACTTCAAACCAAGCAGAAAATCTCTCACATGTGTGCCCTCCATTTCTGGATTGTATAGTTCATTCCAGATGTGGTCAACCTGACAACCAATAATAGCCATCACACAATTTAAACAGACCTATAACCCCTCGTGAAATAGAAATAATCACTAAAAATCTCCCAACTGAGAAAAAGTCTGGCGCCAGATGGATTTAGCAGAGAATTCTACCAGACTTTCCAAAAAGAATTAATGCCAATACTCCTCAAATTATTTACAAAATAGAAACAGGAGGAAGAGTGTTGAATTTCTTGCACAGGGCCACATTACCCTGGTACCTAAACCACACAAGACCCAAGAAAGAAAGAAAATTACAA